ACCATTAGCCTGGTTGCAGCCAAAGCGTTAGGGGTTTGGTTATTTTTTACCGTGTGTGGGATTATCTTTTCAAAGAGTATTGGATCAGGATTAAAACGCATTAAAGAACCAACAAGCATAACAATTATCGCACTTGCCCTTAGCTTTATTATTGGATATCTTTTTGAATCATTTGGCTTATCGATAATAGTAGGGGCCTATGTAGTTGGTCTTACGCTTTCAAATACCGATATATCCTATCTTATCCAGGAAAGATTATACCCCATCTATAAGTTTTTTGTACCAATTTTCTTCTTTGTAAGCGGTATGTACATTGATATCACAATATTCTTCGAGCCCAATATACTGCTTTTCGGTCTTGCGTTTTCGATTATAGGGATAATTACAAAATTTCTAGGATCAAGCATCTCCTCTTACTTTTCTGGATTTAATGTGCTAGGGGCATCGAGGATTGGGGTCGCTATGATACCACGCGGTGAAGTATCTCTTATCATTGCAAGCATAGGGAGAGCGCTCCAAATACTAGATGACACACTCTTCGGAGTCACCCTCATTATGATTTTTACAAGCACAGTATTCCCCCCATTACTCTTTGATTTCTTATTGAAGATAAAAAAAGCAGGGACGAAGGAAAATATTATAGACACAAATGTAAGTAGCATGTACACTTTTAAGACAGCTAAATTGACACGGTTAATACTCTCAGAAATTCTGTCTCTGTTTCAGTCTGATGGGTTTTTCATAAATTCCATAAGAAGAAAAAAACATACTATACTCTATATTAGAAAGGAGAGTATGTTTATTACACTGCATTATCATAATCATACGCTGCAATTCGACACAGAAGAATCATTACTTTCTATAATACAAACTGCAGTGCAGGAATCGATATCTAGTATTGCTGAAACAACATCATTAATGAAGAAAACACTCCAACAAGAAATAATGAAGCCATATCACCCAACATCACAGCGAAGCAAGGAAAATAATTCACGAATCAAAGTTTCAGCACAAGAAAGAAAATATATCATACCTCGAGAGTTTATTCCAAAGGAACACATTATTTTACGGTTGCAGTCAAAGAAAAAAAACGAGATCATACATGAATTGGTAAGTCACTTAAAAACAGACGAACATTTTACCCTAAAGCATAGAGGGTTATTTCTTGAAGATGTATTACAAAGAGAAAGGGTTATGTCTACCGGGATGGAAAATGGTGTTGCAGTTCCACATGTTCAATCTGAGGCAGTGCATACAACTAAAATTGTTATTGGCATAGCTCCAGAAGGGGTTGATTTTAACTCGCTTGATGGAAAAGCAAGTACCATATTTGTACTTATTGCTTCCCCTCTTGAAGGACCGCATCTAGAAATATTATCCAGAATTAGCACCTTGCTAAAGAAAGAAGAAACAAGGAATATGATGATGCAAGCAAAAACAAGCTCAGAACTTTTGTCTATCATCACTTCTTAGAATTACAATGAAAAACATATCTCTTATACTATTGCTATTGTTTTCCTGCACTAGTGCGTACTCCTATCCTCTTATCAAAAATCTATCTGAACAGGATATTGGTTTTACTCAACTGATGAGTTACATAAACAATACTGTATCCGAATTAGTGTTATTTGAATATGAGTTGAAAAACGGCGAAACCATTGAGGGCACCTCCCAGCAAACTGGATTAAGTATAGAAAGCATATCTAGCATCAATAGATTAAGCACAAAAAACTTTGGAAACAAAAAGAACATAAAGATATTATTACCAAGTAAATCTGGGGTATTTATTCCAACAAAACCTAAATTTGACGTTGAATTTATATCTTACAAAGAACATGAAGATGCTATAAGAAAAATACTCCCTATGTCTATACGAGCATCATTCCAGAATGAAAGAACTTTTTTCTATTTCTTGCAAAACAAAACTTGGCCTCAAATCTCTCACGAGCTTTGGGGTACAAATCTTTTACGCCCACCAATATCGTCAGGCATCTTATCTTCACCGTTTGGGTATCGCAAGCATCCCATCAGCAAGAAGAAAATATTTCATAAGGGAATTGATCTAGTCCCATTATTAGATAAAAGGGTGTACGCTACCGCATCAGGTGTGGTAATAGAAAAAAACTATAATACATTGCTTGGGTACTACATAGTTGTCGAACATGATAATAACGTTCATTCCCTCTACGGTCATATCATTGATTCTTTCAAAGAAATTAATGATGAGGTATCCACCGGTGAATATATTGCGAATATAGGTAACACAGGCACTTCCACTGGGTCTCACCTTCATTTTGAAATAAGAATACACAATGAATATGTAGACCCACTAGATTACCTATACTTCCCCAGCACTTTCGATATCGGCACCCCCCTTAACGATAGCAATTACTAAAAGCAAAATGCACTCAAGAAAGTATTATTATGTGACGAAATATATTAATGTTGGTGCCTTTCATAGGTCCCCTCCCAGTTCCCTATAAGGCACTAACTTTCGGCCGGTTCTTCTGAACCGGCTTTCGTGTATCCATGTTGTATCTATTTCAATTTTGTTCTATGTGCTATATAATATTACATAATGAATGAAGTTCCAAACACAAAACGTAATACCCTTCAAGCTATATTAAAGATACTGAAATTTATGCCTATTGTAGGTGCTGGTGTGGTATTGGGGCTAGCTATAGGGGGGACGCTTCACATTGGCTCAGTAGTTCATAAGGATAACCCTCAATGTGTAGAAAAAAAACCTGAGTGTCTGTACAATATAGATGTTATCAACAGAAGCACTGTTGGTGAAATTTCACTCCCCACAAAAGTCTTAGATCGACATGGTGAATTAATTACAAGTTTTTTTTCACTTGAACATAGAAAGATTATTGCATTTCAGCAAGTCCCGCGGATATTGCTACAGGCACTTATTACAAGGGAAGACAAAAGTTTTTTTGAACATTCAGGATTTAGCATAAGAGGCACCATCCGAGCAGCATATAATATCATTATGAACAATTTTGTATCTGGTGGAAGTACCATTTCTCAGCAAGTGGCAGGCGAACGCTATGCTGACAGGAGAGAATTTTCAATTAACCGCAAGTTAAAAGAGCTGTGGTGGTCATTTCAATTGGAACGAAATTGGTCAAAACAGGAAATTCTTGAGGAATATCTTAATAAAATGTATTTTGGGCATGGTAATTATGGTGTTGAAACTTCCAGTCAATTCTTTTTTGGTCATAGCACTCAGGATATCAATTCTGCTGAGGCTGTTATGCTTATAATACAACTCGCAAATCCTGTATATTATTCTCCATTTAAGAACCCAAACATCGCAAGACAGCGCCAAAAAACCATACTACAACAGATGGTTGATCTTGAATTTCTTAGTCAGGAGGATATGGACAGAGATATACAAATATATTGGGATTCATTCGATTACACAAGAGAGGGTTTTTCTAGTGCTTTTTTAGAAAGAGATGATAAGGCACCTTATTTTAGTGAATATGTGCGTCAGCTACTTCTAGAAAAATATAATTTTACTGAATTAGAGATAAATGAGGGGGGTCTTACTATTCACACAACTCTAGATCTTTCATTCCAAAGAAAGGCAAAGAAGTATTTTGATGATGGTTTAGCAAAATCAAATGTGGTATACAGGCAGAACTCAACTAGCTCCATATCAAAAGAAAATAGCATACTTCCAATAGTTGCATTAAGCTCCCTTCTCTTTGATGGTTCTCATGATTTTTTTCATAAAAGCTCATTATTAGAAAAGCAAATACTTGATAGATTTTCAGATATGCAAGCAACTCTCTCGTTGTTGCATCTTATGTTTGAACCATCTCCAAACTCTCTTGTTGCAAATATAAATAAGATTTCTATTGAACAACAGAAAAAGCAGAGTACAGAGGAAACAGTAGAAGGGGCAATGATAACAATAGATAATAGTAGTGGTGAACTACTAGCCATGATTGGTGGAAGCAATTTTGATGTATCCAATCAATTTAATAGAGCAACACAAGCGTTTGTACAGCCAGGCTCTTCTTTTAAGCCGTTATACTATGCAGCAGCGATAGAAGAGCAACTTATTTCACCATCCACAATTATTTGGGACAGTCCCGTGGTTTTTGTATATGATGAAGAAGAAACATACATACCCAACAACTATAAAGGTGAGTGGAAGGGAACAGTTACAGTGAGAGAAGCATTATCTCAATCAATGAATGTTCCTTCACTTAAGATACTTAATAGAATCGGCTTTAAGAAAGCTTTAGATACCGCTGGAACATTGCTAGGCATAGCAGAAAAAGATAGAGAATCTTTAGGCTTGGTAGAAAAATACCCTGTAGGTTTAGGCATTGTAAGCGTGTCACCTATAGCCATAGCAAATGCATATAGCACTATAGCGAGGGGCGGAAAAGCAATTACTCCTACTGCTATACGTTACATAGTAGATAAAAGTGGGGACAGAATCAATATTAAAAAAGCTGAAGATTCGCAGTTTGTAAAAGTACTAAGCCCTCAAACTTCTTATATACTTACCTCATTGCTACAGTCAACTGTACAGCAGGGCACATTGCGCTACGCCGAATATTCAGCAGGTGGATTTACACAACCCACTGCGGGCAAAACAGGGACTACTCAAAACTGGTCGGATGCATGGACTATAGGATTTAATCCCTACCATACAACTGCTGTGTGGTTTGGTTTTGATAGAGGTGGGCAGTCGTTAGGGAATAATCAGACGGGGGCTATTACTACAGGTCCAGTATGGGGAAAATACATGCAAGAAATTAGCAAGACCCTGCCAAAGGCAGAGATTAAAAAGCCAAATGGTATAGTAACCCTTACTATCAATCCAGAAAACAATACGCTAGCTACTACTTCTTCCCCCACTACACTTCAGGAGGTGTATATAGCAGGCACAGAACCCTCTGAGAAAGATAATCCGAGTGCAACAGTATTTATTTCAGATTATCAAGATATGCATTTAGAGCGAGCGCAGTGGAATTTATCCCTCACTAGTACCGGATTGGATGAAGCCACCTTTCTTGAAGAGCGTAGGGCTGCACTGGAACAGCAGAGCGAGGAATACATGTATTCTCGTCCACAATTTGGTATTACACAACTTCCCTCACGCGCATCGTATGGAGTAGATATTACTCTGAGAACCCCCAGTAAATCTCAGATGCTACAAATGAATACACTAAGCGGTATTTCTAGTGAACTTAACACGAAAGCAAGCGAGTTACTCTCTGTGCATGAGAATAACCCATTTCTTCAGTGAGAAGTGTATACTGTACAACGCATACTGTACAGTTACACCATAACGCTCTGTTGTGCTACTGTAATACTATTACTGTAATACTATATTGATAATCTTTTTCTTACCATGCCTTAGCTGTATGCTATTATCCTTTATGTATTTTTCATCAATGAACAATTCTGGGTTTGATATGAGTTCACCATTTATTCTTGCCCCCTTCTGCTGTATAAGCCTTCTCACCTCACTTTTAGTTGCACATAATTCTGAATATACAAATAAATCGCATACATGCACCCCCTCTTCTAGTTGTTCTTTTTGTATCTGCTTTTCTGGGATGCTTGCAGTTGTATGAGATGTATTGCTTTGTAAGTGAGTGAAAAAATCGAGTGTTTCACTAGAAATTACATCACGGTGTCTTGTAAGTGCATCTACAGAAGAAAGCTTGGTATCATGTAAGAATGTAGAACGCGCTACGAGAGCTACATTCATTGCTACTTCTGTTCCGTGTATGATTCTTGTTACATGATATGCAAGAATTTCTTTTATAAGGTTTATACATTCATGTTTGTGTTTCTGATACAGCTCAATCTCAGCTCGGGGAAGAAATGTGTACAACTTCAAAAAACGATGTAGGTCTTTATCATCAATGTTACGCCAATATTGAAAAAAATCAAAAGGAGTTGTCATCTCGGCGTCAATAAAAAGCGCCCCCTGCTCTGTCTTCCCCATTTTATTCCCATCTGAACTCGTTACAAGCGGTACAGTAAGACCAATGCATTCTGTTCCATGCACGCGACGAATAAGATCAGTTCCTGCGACTATATTAGCCCATTGATCTGCTCCGCCACATTGAAGGGCACAAGAGTGATTCTCATACAGATGAAGAAAATCATAGGCCTGTAGTAATTGATAATTAAATTCTAAAAAACTTAATCCAGTTTTTAGTCTCTTTTTATACGTGTCAAAGCTTAACATTCTGTTTACAGAAAAATGTCTCCCTATAGTTCGCATGAATTCAATATAAGCGATGCTATCTAACCATTCTGCGTTATCCAAGACACGGATAGATGCACCAAGATTAGAAAAAAAATTTTCGATTTGCAGTTTTATTTTGTGAAAGTTTTCCTGTATTGTTTCTGTTTTCAATAATGCCCGTTCTTTATTTTTACCAGACGGATCACCAATTTTTGCCGTACCTGCTCCCAGAACAATTATTGGCATGTGTCCCGATTTATACAGGTGAACAAGGAGAAATAAAGACACTAGGTGCCCTGCGTGCAAGCTTGTACCAGTAGGATCTACCCCAACATATGCTGTAAGTGCTTCTTTTTCCAGTTTTTGAGCAAGTAGTGTTCTGTTTGTACATTGATATACAAAGCCTCGCCATTCTAATGAATCAAGTAAGCTAGGCATTGTCTACTCCATATGTTTTTACATAATCAGAAATATATTGATTTATTTTGTGTATAGCTACTCTTTCCTGTTTCAATGTATCTCTCTGACGAATTGTAACAGAAGAATCTGTAAGGGAATCATAATCGTACGTTAGACAGAGTGGCGTTCCTATTTCATCTTGTCTTCTGTATCGTTTTCCGATAGATGTATTCACGTCAAATGCGCAGGAATATTCCTTTTGCAATGAAAGAAACAATTGCTTGGCACGTTCTGCTAAACCATCTTTTTTTACCAGGGGAAGCACTGCTATTGTATATGGTGCTAGGCGTGGATGCAATTGCAGTACGGTTCTTGCGCTTCCTTCGATCTCCTCTACTCGGTACGCATCACAGAGAACAAGAAGTACTGTTCTCGTAAGCCCAGCAGATGTTTCAATAATACATGGAATAAATTTTTCTCCCTCTTCTGGTTGATACGACAGATCTTTCTTAGAAAACTCACTATGCTGAGTAAGATCGAAATTCGATCTATTGTGTATACCTTCAATTTCATTCCAACCAAATGGAAAATGATAGAACACATCACATGCTTCTTTAGCGTAGTGCGCTAGTTCGTCTGGCCTGTGTTCATGGAATCTAAGATGAGATTCTCGTATACCTATGTCCTTATAGTACTGCATCCTCAGTTGCTTCCAATGCTCAAACCACTTTGTATCTTCTTGAGGATGTACAAAAAACTGCATTTCCATTTGCTCAAATTCGCATGTTCTAAAAATGAAATTCTTAAAGAGGAGCTCGTTGCGAAAGGCCTTCCCTACCTGTGCTATGCCAAAAGGTAATTTTAACCTCGATGTTTGCTGAACATTCTTAAAATTTACATATATTCCCTGTGCTGTCTCAGGTCGTAGATATACTTTCATTGAGGATTCTTCGGTGCTCCCCAAGGAGGTGGAAAACATAAGATTAAAATTCTTAGGCTCACTGAGTGGGTTGCCGTTTGGGCTTAGATTTTGCTCTCTTTGCACATCGCTTAATGTATCATATCTAAATCGTTCCTTGGTAATAGTGTCTTCTACCATAACATCTATAAAATTACCTACATGTCCACTAGCTTTCCATACTGTAGGGTGCATCAATATAGCAGAATCGAAACCCACGATGTTTTCATGTTCTTGCACCATTTTTTTCCACCAGTACTTCTCTATATTTTTTTTTAACTCAACTCCTAGGGGACCATAATCCCATGCTGATGCAAGACCGTTATAAATTTCTGAAGACTGAAAAATAAAACCTCTTCTTTTACATAATGAAACAATATGATCAATGCTACTTTCCACTATCAACCTCCAATGCAATGTGTAATTTTTCTTTCAATGCCCTTATTCTTTCAAAGACCTTTTCCTTTCCTAACGCAAAAACAAGCGGTAAAATAGGAATAGAAACCTTGCTTCCTGTAAGTGCGATTCGAAGGGGCATGAGTATATGACCTAACTTTATACAGTTACGCTTTGCCACCTTACGAATTACAGTCTCCAACTCTGTAGTAGTCGTATACGTTTTGTTCTCTAAAACATGCTTTGCGCATTCTAAGCCCTCCATGCTTTCTCTATACTTTGCTGCATCAATAAGCTCTATACTTTTCTGTACATGAGGACGTGTAAAGAGTGGTGCAAGTAATGCGACCGCATCGTGCACATATTCCATGCGTTCTTTGATCTCTGGGATAAGGGGAGATATAGTACGTGCAAGTTCTTCTCTATTTTCAATAGTATACTCTTTTACAAGAAGAGGGAGAACTATATGAAGAAGCTCGGTGTCAGATAGTTGTTTTATATAACGTGTATTAAACCAGAGTAATTTATCCATACTGAACTTCGCGGGGTTTTTGTGCATAGTCCCATTAGAAAAGTGTTCAACTAAATCTTGCATGGAGAATAACTCTCTTTTATCATCATATCCCCAACCAAGCAGTGCTATATAATTTAAGAGTGCTTCCGGGAGCACTCCCATCTTCTTCAATTCTTGTATGCTCAGTGACCCATTACGTTTTGAAAGTTTTTGTCCGTCCTCACCTAAAATCATAGATAGATGACAAAATACAGGTGACTTCCACCCTAATACTTCATAGATATACATATGAACAGGGGTAGATGGTATCCATTCCTGTGAACGAAGCACATGCGATATTTTCATATCATGATCATCTACAACATTAGCTAAATGGTAGGTGGGAAGGCCATCAGATTTTATGAGTATTGGATCGACAATCATATCTGCAAATTTCTTATGTATAGTCCCTAGGAGCATATCATGAAATACCTTTTCCCCTGTCAACGGTAGCTTAAGACGAATAACAGAACGTATTTCACCTCTAGCTTCTTTTTCTTCAAATCGTTTTCTTTGCTTCTTACTTAAATTACGTGAGGATCTATTGTATACTACCCCACTCTCCTTCGATGATGTATAGCAGCGATATGCTGTACCAGTCTCTACAAGAGTGTTAGCGACTTCTCTGTATCTTTCTTTTTTCTGCGATTGAATATATGGTGCGTATTCCCCTTCGTTTCCTTGCTCGTCAGCTCTTATACCTAACCATTCGAGTGAAGAATAAAGATCATCAACGTATCTTTCTTCGCATCTTGCAGTATCCGTGTCTTCTATGCGGAGAATAAATACTCCATTATGAGAGCGGGCAAAAAGATAATTTAGTAACGCTGTTCGTGCACCGCCTAAATGTTGAAATCCTGTGGGTGAAGGTGCGTATCTCACTCTTATCGTCATTATAATATACCACTTACTATAAAGATAATGCTATGTTTCATCTTACTGCGTATAGTGAGTTAAAAAATCACCTAAGCGCCCTAAAGCTTCATGCATTATATCTTCAGATGCTAAACAGACAATGCGAAAATACTGTTCACTGCTAAAATTAAAACCAGATGAAGGCACAATCAATACTTTTTCTTGCCTAAGTAAATCTAATGCAAAGCGCTCTCCATTTTCAATATTACAACGTTGTGAGATACGTGGAAATACATATATCGTTCCTTTAGGGCGCATATATTCTACATCTTTGATCGCATCAAGTGTCTTGCATGCATAATCCATTCTATCGAAAAATACCCCACCAGGTTTACTAAGACTCTTTATATCCTCTCTTTTAAGCAGGGCTATTTCTAGTGCTATTTGAGAAAAAACGTTGCTACAGAGTCTCATGCTAGACATTTTTTCAAGCGCTCGTTTGTACTGGGTAAGCATTCCTTTTGGGTCATGAATGCCTAGCCAGCCACAACGGAAGCCTGGCGCTCTATACGCTTTTGAGAGTCCGTTAAAAAAAACACAGGGACAATCTTCTGCAAGTGTAGCTAATGGAATTGCGACATGGGTATCATACACAATTTGCTCGTATATTTCATCAGAGAACAAAAGAAGTGAGTGCTCTTTTGAAAGGGCTACAAGCTCTTCTAAAAAAGACTTAGGATATACAGCCCCGGTGGGGTTGTTTGGATTGATAAGCACAATTGCCTTCGTTCGAGTGCTGATAAGTGATTTTATTTCCTTTATTTGTGGCACCCATTCGTTTTCTAGTAAACAGTGGTAGTACTTAGGAACGCCATGAAAAAGGTGTACCTTAGACGACCATAACGGATAATCTGGTGAAGGTACTAATATTTCATCTCCAGGGTTAAGGAGTGCAGATAAACTTAAATCAATTAACTCACTTACTCCATTCCCAATAAAGATAGAGTCAAGTTCCAAAGAGAGAGAATGTGCATAATAATAATACTGTGCTATGCTTTCTCTAGATTTTACCAAACCCTTACTCTCAACATACCCCTGTGCTTCTCTAATATTATTCTGCACATACTCCAGCATAGCAGTATCGGCTTCTATACCAAAAGGATAGGTATTTCCAATATTCAATTTAATTATTCTTTCTCCCATTTTCTCTAGGTTCTGAGCTTCTTGCGTAACTGGACCGCGAATGTCATAGTGAATTTTTTCCATCTGTTCAGATACAAATGTCTTTTTCATTTCTCTCATGTCAAGTGTTTATGCATAATACACGTATTCCTTAAATAAATATAGAGTAAGTGTACGGCGTTATATACATCAAAATAGTAGGGGTATTAATGTAATGCAGTACCCATTTTTATTGTACTATACATACTAATATGTAGTACTAATAATAAAAATAGTATAGAAAATACTTAAATAGGGGTGTGTTTTGTCGATAAATTTGATTATAGTAGTATAAGATGAATAAAATTATTATATCTTCAATTCAACCTAACTCACCTCTACATACCATCGGTTTCCTAGATGATGATTTTGTTCTATTTCTTCCTGAAACCGTACTCAAAAAAGAAATTCGTAATCTACTGAATTCTTTTTCTATTAATAGCATACAAACAGCCGAAGACGACGAATCAGTTATCTCTGACCCCACTGAGGAAAAGGATAAAATTGAGATAAAAAATCTCCCGGAAAACAATACGATACATAGCAAATATATTAAATTGATTATTAATCATGAAAAACACCTTGAAAACTATAAAGGTTTTTTTGTAGAAGTATCACAACTTATCCATGAAATTACATCTAAACATTCTTTAGGGTATCAGAGAGTCTCAGATTTTATATATCAAAAAGTAATTCAAATCATCCGTCACTCTCCGGAAACATTTCTCCATTACAATGACTTTGAATATAACAGTGGAAAGAAGTTTGATGTATTAATCAACTACCAACTAAGAAACCTTATCTTTTGTCTCTCGTTACTCGAATTAGATACAAGTAGGACATTTAGTAGTATAGAAAAGAAAATTCAAGTTGCAATCATATGCATGCTATCTAGTATCAGTGCGTTTACCGTTTCAGAAAAACTAAAAAAAGAGGATATATTTCCTGTCCTCTACAATCCAGCCCTTGATAAGATTATCCCTAAATTAAGCTATAAGATACTCGTAGAAGGTCATTTTCCTGAAGCTATCACCGAAGCTGTGCTATATTCTCGTTCTGTTTATTCAACAACGAGCAATAGAAGACAGGCTCTCTCGCATGGTTTATCATCAGTAGATACAGGTAATTTTGTTCATATGATCAACACCTACACATATCTCACAAACACCAATAGACATAACCCCAAAACCCCTCTTCTTGCATTAAAAGAACTTATTAACAAGGCAAGAAAGGCCATCGACCCAGTAAACGTAAAAGTAATAATAGAGGTCATGGGGAATAATCCCCCCGGTACATATGTACAACTCAATAATGGCGGAAAAGCTGTTGTTCTAGCCACTAACACAGAAGAAGAGAAAACAGTAATATTGCAGTTGCTTACCGACCCTCACAACAATCCTATTACAAAACCATTAATCATACCAATTACAAATAATGATTTTTCTATAGCTAAATATTTATACAATGAAGATATACAAAAATTGAAGATAATACAATCTCAGATATTAAATGCATATAAAATGAAGTAATTATATCTGCATAATCATGTCTACGGTCTTCGTGCGTGCAGTAATTTTAGAATTAGATATAGCAAGGTGGATTGAATGATATTTTCTAGAATTACGTATTGTTTTTTTACTTAGAACATGTTTGCTTACAATATCATGTATTTCAGAGGCCATAACACGCTTGATGCTTCGTGCCCCAAATACATGAGAGAAACCCTTATGAGACAGAAATGTAATTATAGGAGCTTCCCATGTGAGTAGAATGTGATGTTTTTGCAATTTTTCTTTCAAATATTCTAATTCTCTTTTTACTATTTTATGTGCCTGCACTTCTGTTAGAGGGTTAAAAATAACAATTTCATCCAATCTATTTCTAAACTCTGGTCGGAAAAGCTTGTTTAATTCTTTCATTATTTCATCAGAACCCTTGAATTGCAGAGCACCAAAACCCAGTTCTTTTTCTGAGAAAAACTCCGCTCCAACGTTTGATGTCATACATAGAATACTATTTCTAAAATCAGCTTTTCTTCCTAAACTGTCGGTTATAGTAGCGTGGTCCATTATCTGAAGAAGAAGATTAAAAATATCAACATGAGCTTTCTCTATTTCATCGAGTAAAAGCAATGAATGAGGGTATCTCCGTGTATGATCAATAAGTAATCCACCCTGCTCATACCCTATATAGCCGGGAGGGGAACCTATAAATTTTGATACCGAATGCTGTTCTTGGTACTCGCTCATATCAAATCTGCGAAAAGGTATGCTTAATTCTATCGCAAGTTGCTTTGAAAGTTCAGTTTTTCCCACACCGGTAGGGCCAACAAATAATAATGAGGCAACTGGCTTATTTTCATCACTAAGCCCTGCTTTTGCTCGACTTATTATCCTTGCAATGGTGTTTATCTGTGTATTCTGCCCAAATATCTTCTCAGTTAACTTTGTTTCAAGTGTTAATAAATGTGTAAACTCACTCTTTTTAATTGTTGAGAGGGCGCGCTTCGTAATCTTACTTATAACTTTTTCTACATCAGAGACCTGCACTGAGAGTATTTTTCTTCTTCTTGATTTATTCTGTATTTTTATTGAGGAACCAACTGCATCAAGTACATCTATTGCTTTGTCAGGAAAAGAACGATCATTAATATACTTTTGTGCTAGATCAATAATGTTATCGAGAATAGCGTCAGGGTACTCAATCTGATAAAACACTTCATATTTTTTCTTGATACCTAACAAAATATTCATAAGCTCATTACGATTTGGCTCTTGCATTTCTACATTATAAAATTTATGTAACACGCTACGTAGGTGCTCAAAGCGCTTTAGTTCTTCAAAAGAACAAATTCCAATGCATCGTATATTGTTATTCGCAAGTAAGGGCTTGATAAGATCCCCAAGGTCACCATTGTTACTTGAAGAAGCGCCGGCGTGCAATATGGTATGAATATCATCAAGCAAGAGAATATACTGCTTCCCTTTTGTAAGCACACTCATCAACTGCTTTACTCTGTCTTCAAAGTCTCCTCTGTACCGTGTACCCGCTACTAACGACACAACATTAAGGGAGAGAATTTTTGTTCCTTCAAATTCGCTTGGTGCTAGCCCATGTACTATTCTCGATGCTATTTCTTGAACAAGTGATGTTTTACCTACACCAGAATTGCCCACCAGGAGTACGTTATTTTTTTTCCTTCTCAATAAAATTTCAAATACTTCATCAATGATATTTTGCTGCCCGATAAAGATGTCAAACATACCTTGTCTAGCATGTGAAGTAAGGTCTGTAGTAAACTTTTCAAGCGCCTCTCCTTTCTTCTCTTCGTAGTCTTCATCTGTATTACTTTTATCTATTTTTTCAAAATCTTCTTCAATAAGGTAATCGTCTTCATATATATTTTTTTGATCCTGATTAAGGTATTCGAAAAAATGTTCTTGTGCCATCGCATCTAGCACGTCTTTTGTCTTGACATGCCTACGTTTCAAAAAAGAGGTGCCCAAAATATCTTCTATCTCAATAAGTGAGATAATAAGATCTTTCACGTTTATGATTTTCCTTGCATCTTTCGAACACGAAACACAGCAACGCTCAATAAGTCTTTTTAAGCCCTGTGAATAGACGGGGGTATTCTTAAGTGCCACGGTGTTACCCTTCTCTTCCTCCGCATGTATAGAAAGAAAGTCTATGAGCTCAGTCTTTAACGGTGTAAGTTCAATGTCAAGCAAGTCAAAAGAGAAAACGTGTCAAAGGCTGGTAGGTAAACGCTAGCAACACATGTTCGGGGCTTACTTGGGCATGTTTGAGAAATTTTGCCTTATCGACGGCAAACTCAAGAATTAAATTAACTGTATCATCATATTCGAATTTCAATGTATCACACTCAAGCGCCATGAGATAATTACTACCTGTAATGCTATCTCAATAATATATCTCTATATAACTCATATAATACTATAAAAGATAAAAAGCTTCAACTTTGTTGCGCTCTTGCTTTTTCTTGCTTACTCCCCATGCTTTTGTTTACATTTTCTTGCCATGTCTCCAATCGGGTTTGTACTGTATGTTGTATTACAGCATGTATTCTGCATACCTTTATTCTTCCCTTGTATATATGGTAGTATGCATAGCATAGCACCAATATATAAGAACTTCTTGGGTATAGTATCTTTGTGTAATCAACCATGATTGAGAAGAGCCATTACTGCCTTTGCAATATAATCATTTTGTATAGTATATTCACTTTATTTTCAAATCTATATGTAAACTCACTCTGATGAATCATGTTTATACTACTGTGTTTTTCTTTAATGATTGAAGATAGTGTCGTAAGTTTTTTTTCTTCCTTGTGAAGGCATATGGTAATATATGTATCGCATTTTGTTTCATCGATTATTCTTTTGAGTAAGAACTGCTCTTTTCCTTTGCTTCTGCGAGTAAAATGAAAAATACTATCTAATAAAATATATTGAAAATTCTGAAATTCAGTAAAGTCATACATATCCATGACCCGTCCTTGCAGTGCAATATGCTCGTGTGCTGCTGAGGATTGCAATTGAGATATAGCAAGCGAAGAAATATCAATCCCGAGTACATCATATCCTAATCGTGCAAGGGCAATGGCATCTCTGCCTTGACCACAACCTAGATCAAGCAATGCCCCTTTTGTGGGCCTTGAAGAGTACCATGAAAGCAATTCAGGATAAGGTTCTCCAAAAAGATTTTCTTTTTTATAATATGTATCATATGGTACGCGTTTCATATGAGTATAAGTAAACATGCTCTTATTATATCTGCTGTGTAACTCTGTTACTACTATATCAGTATTCTGCATACATTAATACTCCCATACATCAAGCAATACTGTTATATGTATGCTACGATACAAGTATATGTATGAGAAACATTCAAATAGTACAGTTGGCCCTTATCAGAAAGCAGTGTATGCTGGGCCATTTCTTTTTTGTTCTGGACAAATAGCTCTCGACCAAGATACGGGTGCTATTGTAGGTACACGTACACAGGAGCAATGTGTGCAGGTGATAAAAAATATCGTATCGTTGCTTGGTGAGTACCACCTTACACTACGTCATGTTGTGCAGAGTACTTGTTACTTGCAAAACATGGAGGATTTTTCCATCTTTAATGCTACGTACGCCCAGTTCTTCCATGCCCCCTACCCTTCAAGAACCTGCGTTGAAGTATCAAAACTACCAAAAAATGCACTTGTAGAAATAGCAGTAGTAGCATTTCAATCGCAGTAGTAACATGTGGGTAAAAGGCCTTGAGAGATGCAAGCGAGAAAAATACCGGTACGAATATACTCCTTGAATATCTGCATATGAGAAAGCGCTAGCAAGTGATGCTGCTCACTTATACTCGTTCTGTATAAGTAGGTGCCTGTATAAACCTTCATACATAATGATGCAAACAAAGATTCATATATACCTACTATCCTTGACACGTTTTTCAAAAACATATATACTAAAAGAGTAATGTTGTTTTGCACTCAAAAAAATACCCTTATTATTCTTCTCAGATAATGTTATGATGAAGGATATAAGTAGGTCGTCCTTCATGGGCGACTTTTTTTTTGAAGAAATTTTTTGTTAGAGGAGCTTTTTATGGATACTATTCAAGTCTTTGATACTACATTACGCGATGGCGAGCAGTCACCCGGAGCGTCCATGGAGGTAGAACAAAAAGTGAACATAGCACGTTCACTAGCTGGAATGGGGGTAGATGTTATTGAGGCGGGATTTCCTATTTCTTCGCCTAAGCAATTTGAAGGAACAAAGCTTATCTGTGAACAAGTAAGAACCTCAACCATTGCAGGATTGTCAAGAGCAATCCAGAAAGATATAGATATAGCTGCAGAAGCGTTAAAAAAAGCAGCAAACTCTCGGGTGCACACCTTCCTTGCCACCTCCCCATTACACAGAGAATATAAACTAAGAAAATCTAAAGAGGAAATTATTGAAATAGTATCATGGGCAGTAAAGTATGCAAAGAATTTATGCTCTGAAGTTGAATTCTCTGCCGAAGATGCCCTGCGAACAGAAAAAGACTATCTTGCTGAAGTTGTCGATGCCGCGATAAAAGCGGGCGCGAGTATTGTCAACATACCAGATACAGTGGGATATGCTACCCCTCAAGAAATAGAAGAATATTTTACCTACCTTAGAGAGCATGTAGACAAAATCGATACCATCATACTCTCGGCACATTGCCATGACGACTTAGGGCTTGCCACCGCCAACACCTTGACTGCTATAAAAGCAGGAGCTCGTCAAGTGGAAGTAACAGTCAATGGTATAGGAGAACGTGCGGGAAATGCTGCACTCGAGGAAATAGTAACAGGGATAGGTATACGCAATGATTTTTGGAAGGTAAGAACAAACGTTGATCCTAGTAAAATTTATACTACATCTCGACTACTCAGTGCCACAATAGGTTACCCCATCCCTCGAAACAAAGCAATAATTGGTGAAAACGCTTTTGCTCATGAAGCAGGAATACATCAAGACGGTGTCCTGAAGCATCGAGGAACATACGAGATACTTACTCCTGATTATGTAGGGAGAAAATCAAACAATATTGTGCTTGGCAGACATTCTGGTTTGAACGGCTTGAGGAGCAGGTTAAAACATCTTAGCATACACGTTGAAGAAGAAACATTGCAAGAGCTCTACAAAAAATTTCTTGAAATAGCAGATAAGAAACGAGAAGTATATGACAGCGACCTTATTGCAATAGTAAGTAATTTTGAAGAAGAAGAGGATAATACCTTTTTCAAAATCGAACATTTCTCTATGTATTTAGAGCCAAATACACAGCCTCGAGCAGAAGTAACACTGCGCATCGGTGAGAAAAACAAAAAAGCAAGCGCCAGTGGTGACGGTCCAATAGATGCTATATTTAGTGCTATCTGCTCATTAGTAGATTATACAGTGGTCTTGGAAGAGTATCATGTAACAGCGATATCTCCTGGAACAAATGCCCTAGGCGAAGCTGTGGCAGTTACTACTATTGAGGGTAAGGAATGCATTGGAAGAGCTTCCTCCACCGACATTCTAGAAGCAAGCGCGCATGCTTTTGTGTATGCACTGAATCACTTTCAGTTTTATCTTCTTCACAGCAACAATGAACATAAGGAATCTTAAATGGAAAAAGTACGAACAATAGAAATATACGATACAAGCCTACGAGATGGTATGCAGGGAATGCATATTAACTACTCATTAGAAAATAAGTTGAATATAGCAAAAAAATTAGATGAATTCAAATTAGATTACATCGAAGGCGGGTTTCCATTCTCTAATGAAAAGGAAAAGGAATTCTTTGAAAAAGTTAAGAAACTCAACCTTACACACGCTAAAATCGCAGCGTTTGGATCTACAGCAAAACCAGGATCAAAAGCTCATGACGACCCACATATACAAGCATTGCTCCAAGCGGACACAGAAGTAGTGACTATTGTTGCTAAATCTTCCGTCGCTCATGTTCATGAGGTGATACGATCTTCAGAAGAAGAGTATTTTGAATGCACCTTTGCATCTATTCGTGCACTCAAGGAACGTGGATGCAAGGTAATACTGGACCTAGAACATTTCTTTGATGGAATAAAACTAAACCCGAACTTTGCATTACAAATGCTAGATATAGGAACCGAAGCTGGTGTTGAGCTATTAGTACTCTGCGACACCAACGGAGGCACACTTCCTCATGAGGTAAAAAATACCATGAAGTTGCTCAAAGATAAAACACTTGCTCCCTTAGGAGGTCACTTTCATGACGACTGTGGACTTGCTGTAGCCAACAGTCTTATGTGCATCGATGAAGGAGCAGTGCATATACAAGGGACCGTAAATGGGTGGGGGGAGCGATCGGGAAATGCCAACCTCTGCACTATTATTCCCAATCTTATCATAAAAGATGCGCGCTATACAGCACGTTGCGAGAACACTATACAAAACCTTAGTTTATTATCACGTTTTGTTGCTGAGCAAGCCAATATCATCCCAAATCCTCGAGATCCATATGTAGGACGTGCATCTTTTAGTCATAAAGCTGGTCAACATGCTGATGTAGTGCACAAAAACGAAACACTTATGGAGCATATTGACCCGAATACAGTAGGAAACGAACGTTACATTCTTTTATCAGAATTAGCAGGCAAGGCTACTATACTTACTTTTCTTAACAAATATGGAACATATGAGAAAAATGATCCCATAGTGACACATGTTACTAATGTTCTTAAGGAAAAGGAAAATGATGGTTTTGAATACGAAACAGCCACAGCATCATTTGAACTTATTATACTACGTGCATTGAACGCGCGTACGTCCTTGCTACAATTAAAAAATTACCATATCGAACAGTATAAAAGCTTTGCACATCCATCGCAGACAATATCACGCATTTTCATACAATGGAAAGAAAGAGAACTGATGGGGGCCGCAATAAGCAACGGTCCTGTAGAGGCGCTAGATCTCTCATTAAGAAATGCCCTCCAGCATGAATTTCCGGAAGTAAAAGAAATAAAAATTACGGATTATCGTGTGCGTGTTATAAATCCAGAACAAAGCACCTCTGCAAAGGTGCGTGTGTTTATTACGTTTTCTGATACAGATAATACATGGGAAACTATTGGGGTACATCAAAACATTTTAGAGGCATCGTGGGACGCACTCATCGATGGCTTAGAATACTACTATTATAGCATCCTGCAACATACACAATAAGCATGCAACGCATAAAGCGATACACGTACAATCAAGGGCAAGTGTAGCTATTATGAATTCTTAATACAACAAGCATTGGACTGTACCAGCTAATCTCGCATTGCTTAGCGCTGGAAGTTTTGGCCAGTACATAAAAAGTATGTGGAACTATTTTGAAAAACTAGGCTTGAGACTTCCTTTGATTACTCATAATGGTAGTGCCCTACGTAAATACAAGGGTGCTCGCACTCATTGTACTCTCTTAGCGTCACTGTGGTTATCTCTGCTTAGTACTAAGGAAAATTCTATGCCTATACTGACAGCAGCAACGAACGTATTTTCAGACTTTATTGTCACCACTAATATACAATTGGCCACTCTCACTGTAATGCATCTTGTAAGACATGATATCCATGATTTTTTACTATAGTTCAAAACCTACCATACCATTTTCTTACTCTTGTAATACTTGAAATATCTGTATATCCCTACCCTGTGACAATGCTTTCTTCACCCATTATATCTATAATTTTTACTGCAACAATATCTGTGTTACTGGCTAAATCTATGGTATATTCGCCTTTGATCACATCTTTCTTCTTTTCTGGAATATCAGAATAACACAGATTAAATACTTTTCCATCGTAGTCGCTATCAATGAATACCATTTCTATCTGCTGCTTGTAATCGTAACGCTCATCATTGTATATAGCCGTATTCAGTTCTAATCGTTTACAAATGCTAGGGGATGTATATTCATGGATAGTAATAATAGCTTTTTTTGCTTCTTTTGTAATGCTTACCTCTAGCTCTGCCACTTCATACGAAATAATACCGTCTTCTTGTATGTCTTGTATCTTTATTTTATGTATTGGGCTTTGCATATTATACTGGGTTAGCTCTTTTTTAAGCGAGATTTCATGGCCACTACATATAACAACTATGTTCCGTGTGTCTGTTTTTCTATTCACTGCACATTCATTTTGTATTTGCTGTATATCAAATATAGTAAGAGGTTTGTGAAGCTCAGCTATTTTTACCAATTCATTCCCTAATGTGCCATCAAAGAAAGCATCATTCATTTTTTTGATGCCATACTTTGCATATAGTATCTCTTTTACAGCATAACGTTCTTGAAAGTCATAATTATTTACTCTGTAATGCAGCATGTCGTATACACTACTCTTTTGAATAACACCTCTATGCTTAGCTCGCATAATTTTCTGTAGACGTTGTATAGTGGTATGTATTGCCCCTTTGTTACAGTCTACCCCTATCCAACGACGCCCTAGTTTTTCTGCTACAGCTTGTGTAGTACCGCTACCCATGAAACAATCAAGTACTATATCCCCTTCGTGTGAAGACGCTTTTATAATGCGCTCCAATAATGCTTCGGGCTTTTGAGTAGGGTATTGATATTCCATTAATTCAACTGAATTTCTAAATAACTTTCCTATATCATACCAATGGTCCTTGAGCAAAGTCATCCTGTATATTCCTAGCTCATCTTTTTTGATATTTAATTCTTGAGCACTGACTTGCTTGGGATTAAAGATGGACCTTAAATAACTTTTTCCTTGCTGTGGATTCCAGGTGGCCATATTCTTGTTTTTACAATAAAAGAAGATAGTATCATGCTTTCTAGAAAACCCTATTTTCTCAGGAACACCCCCAGTACTATAGCACCACACAATCTCATTTACAAAGTTCCTCTCTCCAAACACTTCGTCTAAGAGTATTCTCTGATGGTGGCTTCTATGCCAATCGCAATGCAAATATATACTCCCCTGATCACTCAGCAACTCACGAAGTAGTATCAAGCGTTCATACATAAATTGTAGGTATTCATCATTTTTCCAGAAATCTGTATATTGCATTTGCTCAAAAAGACTGCGCTCCCCTCCCTTTACTTTTTTCTTGCTTCCTCGTAATGATACTTTTTTTACATAGTTTGCTTTGCTGTCAAAGGGTGGATCAATATAAATCAAACCCACCTTCCCCTTAAACCCACTTGTAAGCAGAGTAGATAATACTTCCTTGTTGTCTCCGTGAAATAATAAATTATACCAGTTGTCCTTTAGTTCATTATAGTTTGGAGAATGCGGATGCAAAGATTTTCCAGTTTTTTCCACTAACTGCGAGGGATAATAATGCACTGTGTCTATTGGCTGTTTCCCTGCCCAGTAGAGCATTGCTCTTCCTTTTGTTTTCTCTATGTATAACTCACCTTCCATCGATCTTGTTTTCCTATATCTGTTACTAGCATAAGCTACACAACTATTTTCTTATAGAAAGTAGTTTCTAAGAACTATTAGTAACGTAGCTTGCGAGCACTCGCACTGTTATTTCTTATATACTCTATTCCATCTACCGCTGCCATGCATGCTGCAGTAGTTGAAACGTAAGGTATAGCAAAGCGCAGAGATGACCTTCGAATTGCCTTTTCTTCTATACGTAATTCCTTACTCGCTTGCTGCGAAATACTCACTACAAGATCTATACGACCACTTTGCATTCTCTCTCCTATCGCCTGTATTCTTTCATCTACGGATGTACTGCTAGTCATAAGCGCAGAAGGAATATTCTGCGATATACAGAGTTCTGCTGTTTCTTTATTTGCTAGTATTGTAAAACCCATATCTGTTAAACGTTGTAGTTGCACAAAGATTTCTGTTTTTATATTAACATTGATTGAAACAAAAACAGTACCTGCTTTTGGAAGGCGAGTGGAGGCAACTATGCTAGCCTTGGCGAATGCTTCCCCAAAGCTTTCGCCAATCCCTATAGCTTCTCCAGTAGATTTCATCTCTGGACCTAGTACAGGATCCGCATCTTCAAACCTATCAAAGCTAAACACCGATTCTTTTACCGCGTAGCCCTCCGTACAGTACCCTACAGCCAAGTTCTTGTATCCTTCCATTCTTCTTTCAAGGAATGTTGGGTGCTTTGAAAGTTTTTCTCCATTCCATACTGAAACCGCCATGTCTACAAGATCTACCCCTGATGTCTTAGAGATAAATGGGATAGTACGGGAGGCTCGAGGATTTGCCTCTAAAATATACAGATCTTTCCCTACGCTTGCAAACTGTATGTTAAGAAAGCCTTTGATATTCAAACGCCGAGCAAGGGCTATGCTGGCCTTGTACATAATATGTGCTAGTGGATCATGTGCTACCTCTGGTGTAAAAATACACGCCGAATCCCCCGAATGTATTCCCGCTGGCTCAATATGCTTCAATACACCAGCAATATATACAGATTCTCTATCACTCACAATATCTACGTCATACTCAACTGCATCCTCTAGAAAACTATCAATCAGAAGTTCAGTATCATGTAGGTCTTCTTTGTTACGCTCTATAAACTCAAGAAGCTCTGATGCACTATATAATATAGCCATCGCTCTCCCTCCAAGAACATAGGAGGGACGTACCAAAGACAGGAAATCTAAGGGAGGAGAGCACTGCGTCAATATCTTTTATAGTATGCAATATAGTCCCGGGTATGGCTCGTATAGGTACTGTATCTTGTAATTGAATATCCTCCAATACGGAAAGAAACTTTTTTCTGCTCTCTGCGATATCTATTGCAGCAGCAGTTGTGCCTAGTATGGTAATATTATGAGCATGCAAATCAGGGAGAATATTTAACGGTATCTGCCCACCCAGCTGCACTACAAGCTTCTGAATCCCGGTAGCTTGCAGCACAGAAAGCACATCGTCAATGTGTAGGGGTTCGAAAAAGAGAATATCAGCAATATTATAATCAGTAGACACCGTTTCAGGATTACAATTAATAATAGCAACCTCGTATCCCTTTCTTTGAAACGCTAGTGTGGCAAGAGTGCAACAGGTGTCAAATTCTAAGCCCTGACCTACCCTGTTAGGCCCACTACCAAGAATGAGAACACGTTCTTTCTCTGTTGTATGAAGCTCTAAATCCCCACTGCCACTATGTGTGCTGTAAAAATAGGGAGTTCTTGCAGGAAATTCCGCAGCACAGGTATCGACACATCTGTACTGCTGTTCTATATCATGTTCTTTACATAACACATCAATAAATGAGCTTTCTTTATTGAGAAATTGCGCTAACTGGGTATTAGTAAAACCTATTACTTTAGCATCGCGTATTACACTTGCAAGCACCGTCTCATCTTCCAGGTTTTGACTGGCACGTACTTGCTTCTCCATTTCTGCAATCTTAGAAATATGATACAAAACCCATGGATGGAAACCAGTAATAGATGCTATCTTTTCAATGGCAGTTTCCCCTAACCTATACAATAGAGTATATATTGCAAATATTCTACGTGGATGCAGTGTTCTTATGTTTTGCTCTAGTTCTATATCACTTACAGCATTTTCTTTTGAAACATCATATTCCATTTCTACCGAACGCATTGCCTTGTTAAGTGCTTCACAAAAATGCACCCCAAAGGCCAGGGCTTCTCCAATAGATTGCATCTGCGTTCCAAGTTCAGTGATGGGGAACTTCTTCGTATCAAATTTAGGCACTTTTACCGCACAATAATCAAGCGCTGGCTCGAAAAACGATGTCGAATTACGTGTAATCTCATTCATTACTTCGTTAAGGGTATACCCTACTGCCAATTTCGTAGCTATCCTTGCAATAGGAAAGCCAGTTACTTTGCTTGCTAATGCAGAAGACCGAGACACCCTGGGGTTCATTTCAATAACAAGAAGTCGTTGTGTCTCCATTTTATACGCAAATTGCACATTAGAACCTCCGCATTCCATGCCTATGGCCCTGATGATATCAATTGATGCACTGCGGAGTAGCTGATATTCTGCATCCGAAAGCGTTTGTATAGGGGCTACTGTAATGCTGTCACCAGTATGAACACCCATTGGGTCAATGTTTTCTATTGCACACACCACCATTGCATTATCTTCTACATCTCTCATCACTTCAAATTCAAATTCTTGATACCCAAGCAAAGATTCTTCAACCAATGCTGTGTGCACAGGGGACATGGACAAAGCTCTATGTAACTTTTCTGAAAAATCATGCTTTGAATACGCTATGCTACCACCTCTCCCACCTAGGGTAAAGCTTGGGCGGATAATGATAGGATAATCTACTTTTTCAATGATTTTCCAAGCCTCATATTCATATCTCACAAGCGCAGAGAGAGGGCTTTTTAATCCAATACTAGACATAAGTTGCTTAAACAGGCCTCTGTCTTCTGCGAGACGAATGCTCTCTAAACCAGCTCCAATAAGTTCTACACCGTATTCGTTTTTAAGCTCAGTTTCCTCAAATGACATAACCAAATTCAATGCATTCTGTCCTCCCATAGTAGGAAGTATAGCATCGGGTTTTTCTTTTTTAAGAATATCAATGAGATACTCTTTTTCTAGCGGATCAAAATAGATACTGTGAGCATTCCCTGGCGTAGTCATCATAGTAGCGGGGTTTGGATTAAGGAGTATTACATGATACCCCTCTTCCTTTAGCGCACGTACAGCTTGGTTACCTGAATAATCAAACTCACACGCCTGCCCGATAACTATGGGCCCCGAACCCAGTATCACTATTTTTTCAATATCTTCTCTTCTAGGCATTATAAAATTTCTATTACTCTCGGATATAATCTGTTCTAAAGTCTATAGCTCGCTGAATAAAATAATCAAAGATCCAACTGGTATCACTGGGACCAGGACATGCTTCAGGATGAAATTGTACAGAATATATATTTCGTTTATAAGAATGTAACCCCTCGACTGTAGCATCATTTACATTTCGAAACCATACAAGCACATCATCTGGTAGATTTTCTTCCTGTATTGCAAATACATGGTTTTGGCTTGTGATATAGAGCTTTTTACTCAACTCATCTTGCACAGGGTGATTAGAACCGTGATGTCCAAAACTCATTTTATATGTATGTATCCCTAATGCTAATGCAAGCAGTTGATGGCCTAGACAAATACCACAGAGTACTGTTTTCCCAAATAGAGCTTGTATCGTACTCAGTTGCTGTTGAAGCACTGCTGGATCGCCTGGACCATTTGAAATAAGGAGCATATCAGGTGTATTATCCAATAATTCCTCAGCGCTTGCAAGAGAGGAACAACGTTCTACAGCACACCCCTTCTGATGCAGTAGTCGAATTATGTTTTCTTTAGCACCACAATCTAACACTGCTACATTGCAGAGAGTGTCTTTTCTTTCCTTTCTTACGTTCCATGTATTTTTTTCAATATTTCCTACTAAGTTTCTTCCCTCCATTTTTGGCATCTTCTTTAATAAGAGAAGAATATCTTCTTTTGCGTATTCTTCAAATGATGAAAGTGTAAGTAAGGCGCCGTTTTGGGCTCCATGATCCCGTAGATGCTTTGTAAGCAAACGTGTGTCCACTCCTTCTATACCGGGAATATTATGTGTTCTCATCCATGATTCCAGTGTTAGCCTTCCTTTTAGCACTGGACCATTGTACAGCTGATGTATGACAAGACCAGCGACAGTAATACACTTACTATAAGTTATCTTATTTGACTCGAACCAGCTGCTATCCACGCCATAATTTCCTATCATTGGATAGGTCATACAGACTAATTGACCAATATATGATGGATCGCTGAGGACTTCAACATACCCCGACATAGATGTAGTGAATATCACCTCACCTATATGTGAAGCTTCGCTTTGGGCTATTTTTGTAGAGAGATCTTCCACTTGCATTGGAGGGGATGCAAATTGTCTTCCTAGGAAACACGTTCCATCCTCCAATAAAAGTACTGCATCAAAGTTCATCTTAGCCCATAGGAGAATTGAACTCCTGTTTTAGGAATGAGAATCCTACGTCCTAGCCACTAGACGAATGGGCCGTATATTTTTCCGGGGAGGATTTGAACCCCCACAAACAGAACCAGAACCTGTTGTGCTACCATTACACCACCGGAAATCTATATAAAGAGTATAGTATAGGTACTCTATCCTGTCAATTCCTAACATATTGTACACCTACAATACCAACAACTAGTGAAAAAAGAGAAGTTCTGATAGAAATAAAGTAAAACAAAAACGCAACTACTATTCATGCTTGCTATGCAATTTGGGTATGTAAAGAAAAATAGGATTACTGCAGTATATTTACTATAAGTCCTTTTATTTCATCTAGTGTGTTCATAAGAGAAAACTGGTCGCTTTGCGTACTTACAACTAATCGAAGCACAGAATCCAATTTTTTATTTATAGAATGTACTAATGTAATTTTTTTTTCTTGAACAGAATTACCTACTTTTTTATAGGAAGTATATCTTTCTTTTTATGTAGGTGTGGTAGCACTGCAGTGAGTAGTTTCTGTACTTTCTCTCTGTATGCAATTACTTTATTAATACCAGGTTTACTGAGTAAGAGCTGTCCAGCTACATGTATTTCATCTTGCATTGCCTCTAATACTTCATTATTTATGCTGCCATCAGGGCTCAACAGATCGGCTCCTATGGAAGCTTCAGTATCTACTTGCAGTAGAGCACGAAAAGAATTATCCTTATCTAGGAGCGTAGAGGAAGCCCCGGCGCTCCCTAGCCTGCCTTTTGTTTGCGCTGTCGTTCGTTTTCCTGAAGAACTATAACTGATACTAGTATTACGTTTGATTTTTTCCATTGTAAGCACGTTGCTACATAAACATTTTTTCTAATATTTTAGTACTTATACGTTCTGTTATTCTGATGCCGACCTTCTTTTCATCTCTCGTATCTAATTCATTCTCTACTTGCTCTGCATGTTCGTTGGTGTTGACGCCTGCTTTTGTTGTTCTAAATCCTGCATACATCATGGCGCCTGATTCTACAATAATTTGCTCTGCTTCAACATGTCCAATAATCACAGCACTTGCTTGTATGATAAGAATGTCGGTTCTCTCGATGTATCCCTGCACCATGCCAGTAACAATAATTTTTGGTGCTGATAAGTGCCCTTTTACTCTCCCTTCTATCCCAACGAGAATAGAATCGTAACTTAATGCATTACCTGTAAAATTTCCATCTATTCTCAATATGTCTATCGATTCAATGTTGCCATTAAAAGAAGTACCATACCCAATAATAGAATTGATTACTGCAACTCTGTTTTCCATAGTTTTGTGTTCTATAGCAGAAAGTATTTATCTTGTTCCTCTAGGTCTTTGGTATTCTTGGTTATAGCGTATAAAGCGACCAGGATCAATAAGTTCATTCCCTAGATAAATTTGGAAATCAACATGTGGACCAGTGGCTACCCCAGTAGAGCCAACTGTACCGATTATTTGCCCTTGATTTACCGCCTGACCCTTGTATACTTTAATATCTTTCATATGAGAATAATGCGTCTTAAAGCCATACTTATGACTTATATAGATATGGTTTCCATAGCTATCATCATTCCCTACAAATGTTACTACACCGTTAGCTGCGGCATATACTGGTGTACCATGCCATGCTGCCAAATCTATACCCTTATGAAGATACCAGTATCCATACACTGGGTGTATATTTGGGCCCCACTCCATGCTGACCCGAGCATTTTTTACTGGAAGATATAAGGGTAGGTCTTTGAGAAATTGCTTTTCATTTTCGAGCACGCCATTCACATTTTGAAGCACAGGAAGACTCCTGCTAATCTTTTGCTGGAGTAGCACTAAAGAAATTACATCATCTCCGCCTTCTTCTCGCCTACTGTTCATGGTGAGAGCTTCGGCAAAATCACCTTCTGTAATGTTATTTTGATTTTCATCACCTAGCGAAGTATCTATGAGTTGAGCAGTCTGCTGAAGTTCCGCTATAAGAAGTTGACTAATATTTGAAGTTTTAGAAAGTTCTTCTGAAAAATTTTTTGATTGTTATCTCTTTCTTCTAAGGCGATTCTTGAGTAATCGTACTCAAGCTTTGTGTTGTGATAAGCGAATGTAATGTAAATGCCATATGCAACTATTGCCACAGCTAATGTTATTAATGTGATTAAGAAGTAGAAATTAAGTTCTATAGACTGTATATTTTTTCCACTATGTGGAACAAGCATTAGCGTTAATTTTTTTTTCTGTTTCATCTATATTTATTTCTATTTCTTCATTGTATCTAGCATCTTAATCACTGCATCCCCCAAGGATACAATACAACACTCAACTACGACAACAACACAAGACCATATAGTAGCAAGTATTATACATGTTATACATGCGATACCTACAATACCCATATATTTCGTCAGTGTTATGCACTATCTTTATTTTCATTATAACTTATTACATAAAAAAAGGCAAGACACTGTATACTCTATATATAAGCTTGTATGTGTATTGAGATAAAATATCCACATTTTATTATAATAAATAACACATACACTATGAGAGATGCAAGATATGAAGATTTTTGATACACACGCACACTTGGGTCTTATAGACGAAGATCCTATTAGCCAAGTCATCGTTGCTCGTGAAGCAATGGTAAAGAATGTAGTTGGTATAGTAAATATATGTAATAATCTAAAGGATTTTCGACCTCTATATGATAACTTAAGCATAGCAAGAAATGTTTATTTTAGTGTTGGAATCTCTCCCACTGAAGTAACACATACACATTCCAAGTGGGAAGATGAAATTCACATGCTAGCACAGCTCAATAAAGTTATTGCGATAGGAGAGACAGGTCTAGACAGGAAATATGGGAATAAGGATCTCCAAGTTGAGTTTTTTATTAGGCATTTAGAGATAGCAGAAAAGATAAGATACCCCATCATTATACATAATAGGGATGTAGGAAAAGAAATCTTAGAAGTACTAAGAGAAACAAAGCCAACTATACCTATTATTCTTCACTGCTATTCAGAAGATTGGAACTATGCTCAAAAAATTCTGGAGATTTTTCCTCGAGCATACTTTTCATTTACAGGAAGTGTAACATACAAAACCGCAAAGAAACTACAGGAGGCAGCAATGCATATACCTGAAGAAAATTTACTCGTAGAAAGTGAGTGCCCGTTCATGATTCCCTCGCTACTGAAAGGCAAAAGAAATAAACCGGGATATCTCCACTACACAATTGAGCATATAGCAGCATTACGTGAATCTGATAAAGAAAGTATTGCTGAGGTGCTTTTTAATAACGCCTGCAAGGTATTTGGGGTAACGCCGTCTTCATAGAAGTTTTTAGAAGCATATCAACCACTATTTTTGCAACAAAGGGTGTTGTCTACGATATTCATAACAAATAATAGCAAGACTTACGCTTGCGTTAAATGAGTCTACAGCTCCGCTGCTTGGAATTGATAGTAAAAAATCACTCTTTCTGCTTACAAGTTCGTGAAGCCCCTTCGCCTCATTACCGAGAATAAATGCACTCCTCTTAGATAGTTCCGCTGTATAAGAAGAGCTGCCTCGAGCATCAAGAGCGTAGTTCCAAAAACCGTAGTCCTTCAGTTCCCGTAAGGCTGAATGGACATTAGATACTGTACATGTTGGCACAAGGGTAATTGCCCCTGAAGCACTGCGGATACCTGCATCATTAATGGGAGCTACTCTACGTTTGGGTAGTATAAGTAAATCCACTGAAAAAAGGGCGGAGGATCGAAATATTGCGCCTAGATTTTGAGCGTCATGAATATGATCGATAATAAGCACTAATAGCTTGTCTATATCTTTTGTGTCTTGCAACCAAGTACTTAGTTTCTGAACCTGAGTTAGAGGGGAATTCTTGATTTTAAGTTGAATATTTTGACGTATCGCATGTTTTTTGCAATACTCTCGTGTAACAGGATGGATAGTACAGATTTTTTTCTCTGCAAAAGTATACAACTCTTCTATTTTTTGATGCTTTGAGTATACATACAGTTCACCACGAATACCATTCTGCAATGCTGCAATCACTGCATGTGTACCACTAATAGTCATTGCTTTTATTTATTCAACTAAAGATTTATCGTAGACCCTATCTACATCTACTAGGCCATCACCGTCCTTATCTCGCTGAAATCTCTGGATAAATTTGCCACGTTTTACTTGTATCCATAAATCTGCTTCGGTGTCTTTGTTATGATCGATGATCTGAAATACCAGCTCGCCATTAGAGTTATAAAAAGTAAAATCATCTGCTAGACCATCGAAATTAATATCCATAACTTCTTTTTCAGGTTCATAATTTATTGGATTTACAAGCGTAGCTATATCCGGCTCTCCATCATCGTTCCTGTCTATCACGAGCCAAGGTAATGTATATTTTTTTAATGAGAGTTCGAAATCAAATCTAAATTCTTTTGGAATTTCTGCTTTCTTTCCCACGCTAGGTCCTTCAATATACTCTAGTTTTCTTTTTTTCGGTTGGGTACTTTGAGCGTATGCAATGCTATTCATCAACACATAGATGCACAGTAGCATAATGCTGATATACTTCATATACTTGTACAGAATAGACAGGATACTCTGAGATATCATATTTACTCCTTATAATAATAGTAAGATACTTCCATTATCTTTGTTGTTTCTATGCAAGCTATATCTTCTATCTACGTATCATATCCGAATTCTAGTGGTTGAACTGTAGCGGTATACTGTAATTCTTTTTTCAACTGGAGTAGTAACTGCATAGCTTGCTTACCTAGTTTCCGTAAGGGCATTAAACGAAAAATAACAATAAGATCTCCTGTGTAACCCGATTCTGGTTGTACGCCTTTGCGAGAAATTCTTATATAGTCCTGATCTTTTGTGTAAGGTGAAATAGGGACAGACACTTGCTCCTTTGTTATAGATTCAAAGATAATATTACCTCCTAAGGTTGCAGTAATAAAATCTAAAGGGATTTGGACGATGAGATTGTTATGTTCGCGTTTATACAGTTTATGCGGAAGTATATGTATAGTAATAAGAACTCTTCCTTTTCTTCGTTGCAGCTCATGTCCCAAATCTTCAAGAATTAAGGTTTTATTATGCTCTATACCTTTTGGAATTCGTACTTTCACAGTGGGCTTTTTCTTATTTACTCCTCCACCATTGCATGCTTTACATGCATTCTCTAGTATTTTTCCTTCACCATTACAATGCGAGCATGTTGAACTAAAAGAGATAAAGGCACCTAAGGAGCTTTGGGTGCTGCCCCTTCCGCGACAGGTAGAACACGTTGTATACCGCGCCTTTCCATCAGCTCCACTTCCACCACATGCAGCGCAATGTACATATCGTTCGTATGCTATTTTCCTTTCAACACCATCGAGGGACTCCTCTAATGAGATTTCCATAGCAAAATGAATATCTAACTGTGTTTCTCGCCTTGCAGAACTCCCCCTTCCTCCGCTAAAGAAACTACTAAATCCACCAGCTCCACCAAAAATACTTTCAAAACTACTCCCAGAAAATATATCCTCGAATTCTCTGAAAATACTGGAAAAATCATGGGCAGATGCCCCTTGAAATGAAGCGTTTATACCTTCATGACCGTACTGATCGTATATTTTTTTCTTCTCGGGATCAGAAAGCACTTCGTACGCTTCAGTAGCTTCCTTAAAATACTCCTCAGCCTCAGGTTTACCCTGATTTTTATCGGGGTGATACTGGATCGCGAGTTTTCTATATGCCTTTTTTATATCTGCATCTGAAGCACTACGTGATATCCCCAATACCTCATAGTAATCTCTTTTTTGAGACATAGCGCCCTCCCATGTTTAGAACAATTAGAACAGTCAATCGAGCGTTACTTACTATCTTCATCTACTACTTCATAATCCGTGCTGTTTCCGCCATCTTTTTTGTCGCCCTCTGGTGTAGTAGTAGTAGTATTGCTAGTAGTAGAGTTAGTCTGATTATTTGCTTGAGTGTCTTGGTACATTTTCTCTGCTAGTACATGAGACACCTTTGTAAGTTCTTCTGTTTTCTGCTTTATAGTATCAACATCGCTTTTCGCTTCTAGTTCTTTCTTAAGGTCTGCAAGAGCGCTTTCTATACTCTGTTTTTCTTCTGATGAGATTTTTTCACCATGTTCTTTGAGTGTTTTCTCTGTTGTGTACACTAGCTGTTCTGCAACATTAAAAACTTCTATGCTTTCTTTTTGTTTTTTATCTTCCTCAGCATGTGCTTCAGCATCTTTTACCATTTTTTCAATTTCTTCTTCTGATAACCCAGAAGAGGTCTCAATTCTAATTTTCTGCTCTTTGCCTGTTCCAAGGTCTTTTGCAGATACATGTACTATCCCGTTTGCATCTATATCAAATGTTACTTCGATCTGAGGTACACCCCTTGGGGCAGATGGTATACCAAGTAATTCAAAACGACCTAAGGTCCTATTATGGGTGGCAAGCTGGCGTTCTCCTTGAAGAACATGTACGGTTACTGCTGTTTGGTTGTCTGCAGCAGTAGAAAATATTTGTGATTTTTTTGTGGGTATTGTTGTGTTTCTTTCTATAAGTCGTGTAAAAGCGCCTCCTAATGTTTCAATTCCTAGGGAAAGTGGAGTAACATCCAAAAGTAAAATATCTTTTACATCGCCAGCTAGTATTCCTCCTTGTATAGCGGCTCCCATTGCCACTACTTCATCTGGATTTACGCTTTTATTAGGTTTTTTCTGAAAAAGTTCTTCCACAACTTTTTGAACAAGAGGAATACGTGTTGAACCGCCTACCAGTATTACCTCATCTATATCACTAGCATTAAGCTCCGAATCCTTCAGGGCTTTTTTACAAGGCTCTTTCGTTCGTTCTACCAATTCAGAAATAAGTTGCTCAAATTTTGCTCTTGTAAGGGTGATTTGCATATGCTTTGGACCAGTTGCATCGGCTGTAATAAAGGGGAGGTTAATATCTGCCGATTGGGTACTTGATAATTCTTTTTTTGCTTTCTCTGCTGCTTCTCTTAGCCTTTGCAAGGCCATCTTATCATTGCCAAGATCAACACCTGATTGAGATTTAAATTCACTTATAAGCCAGGAGACTACAGCATCATCAAAATTATCCCCACCTAAGTGTGTATCACCATTAGTGGAGCGTACTTCAAATACACCATCGCCTAGCTCTAGTATAGAAATATCAAAGGTGCCACCACCTAAGTCATACACAGCGATCTTTTCTTCTTTTGTTTTCTTGTCTAATCCGTATGCTAATGCCGCTGCAGTCGGCTCGTTTACTATACGCTTTACCTCTAGACCCGCAATTTTACCTGCATCTTTTGTGGCCTGGCGTTGTGCATCATTAAAATACGCAGGTACAGTAATAACAGCTTCTGTTACAGTTTCGCCTAAGTAATCTTCTGCAGTTTTTTTCATTTTCTGTAATATAGCAGATGAAATTTCTGGTGGAGTATACTTGTTCTCATCACATTGAATTATTAGCTTGGAAGCATCTTTTTCTACTTTGTACGCGATACGTTTCATTTCTTCTGATACCTCATCATACGATCTTCCCATAAAACGTTTAATAGAGTATATGGTTTTGTCCGCATTGGTAATCATCTGATTTTTAGCTGATTGACCTACCACCCTCTCGGTTGCTTCACCTTTTTTAATAAATCCTACAATGGAAGGTGTGGTCCTCTGCCCTTCTGAGTTTTGTATAACAATTGGGTCACCACCCTCTATAACTGCTACACAACTATTTGTTGTTCCTAAGTCGATACCTATTATTTTTCCCATACTATTGCTCCTTGCTTATCTTTTAATAATCTTTATTGTTTATTTGCATTGCTTTCAACGGTCTTAGGTAAGGCTACCTTTACTTTGGCAGGCCGTATAACTCTATCAAGATACATGTAGCCATTCATAAACACTTGGGTAACTGTAGGTTTGTGTACTATATCTGTTTCTTCTCTCATAATTGCTTCATGTAATGTAGGATCAAACTCCACATCCTGTGCTTTAATAATTGACAGACCCCAACTTGATTCTAAATTACTGAGTAATTGCTGCTTTATCATATCCACTCCTTCGAGGATTGCGTTTACTTCCTTCTGCTTTGTATTTCCAGTTTCGGAAGTATGTGAAAGATGCTTCTGGGATTCAGTGGCTCTTTCAAAGTTGTCAATGTGTTCAATAATATCTAAAAGGAGGGCTGATGTTTTTTCTCTTACTCTATCGTCTGCGAGTTTTACAAGACGCTTTTTCGTGTTTTCCACATCTGCACGCAAGCGTAACATTTCTTCTTTCAGGCGAGAGCTTTCGTCTTCTGTGTCTACGTCATTCTTACCACTACCCTGGGGATCTGCATCTGAAACACCGTCTAGATGAGTGTGGTGTGCAGTGCGCTCCTGCTTCGCATCTCCTTCGCTACTCATATTCAAAACCTTACTTTCATCTGTACTATCTTTATCTGTGTTACCAGCATCACCATTACTGCTGGTACTACTATTTGCTTGTCTTGCGTAATCAGAACGATGTTTGCCTTCTAGTATATGTGCGTTCTCTTCTACACTACCTGAGCCACTTGAGCTAAGTGTTGCCTTTTCTACTTGGTGAGAATTCGCATGGGTGTCATTGTTCTTTATTGGATGTTCATCTTGCTTTTGTGGAGACTTTTCAGTGTGTGATGCTTCTCCGTACATTTTTTGCGCTTCCATCTTGAGTACATCATCTACACTCTCTACATGCTTATTGTGATATAGGACTTCTTTGCTATAAGAAGGGTTTTGTTTATCACTGTGAAGGGTCTTTTCTTTCTCTTTATTTTGACCGTATTCCTCTGTTTCTTTTATCATGTTAGTTCACTTATATTTTGTTTCACTGAGGGCTATCCATTGGACATAATTCAGTATATTTTCAGTATATATTGCCTAATATATGTAACTATAAATATGTATCTATAAGACATATACAAGTAGTTGCACTTCCCTTTTTTGCAGGTTTTACACTAATCTTATAGACACTCTACTATTAGCATAGTAGGACTATAAAAAAATGTCAATAAGATTTAGTGCAAAGTAGTTTTATCAAGCACATAATCTATCAAATCTACTGTTACACCAATAGTTTTTGCAATCTGATCTTTTGTATAGTGTTGCTTATGTAACTCTATTATAAGTTCTGTTTTTTCCTCATTACTTAAACTTGCATATCGTTTAGTAGGAGACATGATGCTTCTTCCTCTTTTAGTGTCATCTGATGTTTGAATGGAGGATAGGAGGCCGATTTTTTTTGATATTTTCTCATCTAAGTCAAGTAATTTCTGCTCTAAATGAATAAAGGCCTCTCTGTGTTTTTTTACACTTTCCAATTGCTGTGTGATAGAGGGTTCTATTTCTTTAATTTCATAGATATACGAATGTATCTCTTTTATACTTCCATAGTGAGATTTTATATCTTCAATTTCTTTACTTAACCTTTTATGCGTGCTGTTTAGCTCACTAGTTTGACTATCAATTTTGTGCATTTGCTGAAACACCTCATCCACATTGCTTATGACATTCTCGTATGACTGATGTTTTTCTTCTAATTTATTCTGAAATTCCAGTAGGCTCATGTTTGATCTTCCATAGAATCATGTACTAACTCTTGAACTTTGTCTATCTGCTCCTTCTGGTTGGCTAGCTTAAGGAGCGTTTTGTCGTTCTCAAGGGATTTTTTTCTAATGGTATCAATTTGCTTCTCAATATTCTTTTGGTCCTTGCTAATCTGCTTTAATTCTGTATTATTATTTTTTATAATAGAAAACTGTGCTGTTATGACACTTACTTCCTTTTTCAAAGAATCAAACTTTTTGGAATATGATTGGCTTTCTTTGTGTTTCGTCTCTAATTCCTGCAAATCATTTTTAACATGAAGATATTTCTCAGATAATTTATCTGATAATTGCGCAAGAGATTGCAACAACCCTTTATCTTCTTCGAGTTGGCACAGGACTTCTGCATGCTTTGCTCGTAATATATTAAGGTTAGCATTCATTTCGGCTCCGTCTTTTTCAAAAGATTGCACAAAATGCGCTAATTCTTTTTTGTTTGCCTCAGTATGCTGCTGGGCACTTTTTGCCAAATCCTCTTCTTTTAATTCCAAAATACGCAGTCTATCTCTGCATTTTTGCTCTAGCTGCCTAAGTTCTTTATTACATATCTGCTCGAATTGAGTACGCACAGCTTCTATTTCAACATTTTGTTTTTGCAGTAATGATTTTTTCATATCTTCTATTCTCGTAAGAAAAGAGTTCTTTTCTTCACTTAGAGAAAGCTCTAATGAGCGCATAGCACTTGCATGTGCATCTACGAATTGTCTATACTCTTTTTCTAACTCGCTTTGTTTCTTTGCATAGGCGTAACTTATTTCTACAGTACTTTGCTCAATAGCAGTCAAATTGTTCTCATGCTTCTCTACTGCAGTGGAGTATCTTTTTTCAATTACACTGCTACTCTCTTTATGTATTTCAATATCTTTCTGTATTTCTTCTTGAAAGTGCTGTAGTTTTACCTGCTGCTCACGTTTCACTTCATTCATCTGACTTTGAATGTCTTGAGTAAGAAAATGGGAAGTATTGTGTACAAACTGAAAAGTAGCATCGTTTTCTAGACGAAGAGCGTCTATATCCTGGTGTAGCTCTTGTGTGTATTTTTCTTGTTTTTCTTTCAACTCTTGCATATACTTGCTTGTCTCACGTGCAAGGTCTGTGTATGCATTGTCGTGTTCCGCACTCATATCTGCAAGTATTCGCTTCTGCTCTTCCATATTCTTTTCAACACTATTTCCTAAATCCTTGATACTTGATTCATACCCTTGTATAATGAGTTCTTTTTCTTGCTCTTGTTCATCTATATACCCTTGTAGCATTTTCTTTCTTTCTTCAAGTTCTTCCCTGTGCTCTTTCTCTATTTCCATTATTCTCGCTGCACTTTCTCTACAAAGCTGATTTTGTTCTTTTATGTATTTTGCTTGCAACGATTGCAGCTCTGCTTCATTTTCTTCCTTTCTTGAAATAAGACTCTGAGTATATTTTGCTATTTCTTCCACAGAGCGAGCATACATATCGTTCGTTTGTCTATCTAGTTGTGTAAGTGTATTGTGCACCTTCACCTTTCCACTCTCCAACGTTTCCTGTATTTCATTTGAGGAAAGGAGAGTTGTCAGTTGTTTTTCGTATTCCTGCAACTGTTGCTTTTGTACTTTTTCTGCTTTCTGTTTTAGCGTGATAACATGGTCCTCCGCCTCTTTCTCAGAACGCGCAAAAGCCTGCGTAAGAACGCCCCTTTGATTTTTTAATTTTTCATGTAGATGTATACGTTCTTCTTTCCAAAGTTCTTCTACAATTTTTTCTCTCTTACTGCTCTCTGCTTCAAAATTACGCTTTATATTCTTATCTAAAAGCAACATTTTCTCTTCTATCATAGCAAGCTGATCCTGCTTAGTGTCCATATTCTTTTCCATTGTATGTACTTCTTTTTTGTGGAATTGAGTAAATTGGGTAAAATGTTCCTTCAGATCTTCAGATTGCTTACGACTTCCTTGAAATATATCATCTAATGTCCTTGCCAAGCTCTTTATTTTCTTTTGTAAATCAAGTGTGGTGGCAGATTGTTGGGTGTGAAACTGCGAATACTGCTTCTCAAGTTCATTTTTTCTCTGCTCTAATGAGTGTTGTATGAAAGAACTCCTATTGGAGATAGACTGATTGATATCTTTCTCTGCCGACTCCTTGTACACTTGCAGTCGTTTCACCTCTCTGTCCACCACTTCATTCACGGCTGAAACTTTCTCTTCGAATACGTGCTCATGACGCTCTAAACCAGCTTCTAATGCACGTATTTTTACAGTATACTTTCTGTACGCTTGTTCTAATGCAACATGCAACTCTGTGTTTAGTTGCTTACTTTCAAGTGCAAAGTTATTTCTCAATTCGGCGTTAAAATTGTTTATTACACTTTCTTTCTTTGCCTCCATATCTGATAGTACATGTTCGAATCCCACATGTGTTTTCTGGATAAATTCATTGAACTGATTCGAGCATTGTGTTATCCTTCCTTCTACATCATGATACAGCTCATGCAAAGTCTCTTTAGTATTCTCAAACTCAAGTTTTTTTGTATTAAAGGATATAAATTCTGCTTTTACATTTTCTAGCGTATCTGTTAACTGAGAAAGAATACCCTGCGCTTGATCGCGCATTTCAGAAAACGCATGATTTTGCTTTTGGTACTCTATCATCTGCGTGTGGAAATATGTAATATTTTTCTCTGTTTCACTATTGAGAGATTGTCGTTCATCAATAGCAGATTTAATATTAACCATATTTCTCTCAGCTGATCTTACATCCTCCACAAGATCTGTGATATTTTTTTTTGCATTCTTTACTATCTCGTGTAGTTCTTTTTGGCAATTTGCTACGGTATTATTGAGGATTGCGCCTTGCCCCATTCGCTTAGCTTTTATGAAGAGGTAGAGAAAACTTATACTATAAATTGAAAACAAAGTAATATTGAGAAAAGAAAACACGTGCACCTCCCAGTTTGTATTTCTTTATATACAGTATATATGAACACAGACTTTTATGCAACGTGGTTTCTGTGTTGCAATCTGCAATAAGCAACCCGTTTCGTGCTGTACAACAACGTGACTTAAGGATATCTTTGCGCTTGTACTCCAAACTTGAATTCCCTTGAATGGGATGTTGGGGCATGTACCTCTAAGCGAATAAGAGTATATCCAGGTGCTATGTGCGTATGAGGAAACTCAAAGGAAATAATGCCTTCTCTTTCGAGCGCGCTCACATCAGCGTGAGTATATATCTCGTCTTTTGCAATACGGTATGTATCTGTACCAATATGTATTATAGCTAAGGACGGAATAATATAAGAATTATTACGCTCCTCATGTCCACTCTGCATTCTCAGTTGTACTTGTATCGTGTTCTTCCCTGCAAAAACCGTTGGTTCACTCAGTGATGACACTGGTATTTCTTCATTCTCATGAAAGAAACTTAGATCTAGTAAAGTAAACGAAAGTTCATAATCAATAGTGGGTAAATACATAAAGGAATCCACCCATTGCTTCAACGTTGCATCATATATCTTCATATCCCATATACCATTTGCATGACCCACAACAGCTCCCTCGTGTAAGTATTCATCAAGTGTTACACTTGGAACGATCCCAGAATATATGATATAAAAATTATCTTCATTTTTAAGGACTAGAGTGCTGTGTGATGCCTCACTATTTTGATTAGAGTGTTCTACTCCACTATGTGTTATATAGGTGGCAACAACCCTTGCCGCCGAGACAGCATGCACTGCAGTATCGGAAAGTAACGCTAGAGAGTGAAATTGAACATTGTTGTTCTTATGAAAATATTGAGAGAGAAAGTGTATATCTTCTTTCGCTACTGGCCACTGTTCGGCAGTAAGCACATATGGTATGGTAGTAATAAGAAAAAAAAGAATGGTATACCGAATAAAAAAACTATTAAAAACGTAACTCAATGATGCTTTTCCGTTCTCCATGTATTAAAAGGAGTTTTGTATCTTTTATTTCAAAGCGGAAATTTTGTAGTATATTCTCGACTGTATATGTTGGAGCCTTAAATAGTATGTGCTCATTTTTTGAAAAGAACAGTGTAAAATACACAACATGATCTTGCGATGTTAATAAGGCAAAATACTCCTTGTTACCATGTGCAAGATGTATCTTTGCATCACTTTGAAAGAGTGCTTGCTTGGTACCTGTCAGTATTTCAATACCTCTTTCTGAATTAAAGAGCACGCCAAACCCCCTTATTTCATTAAAAGCATATGTGTGATAATAAGAAGCGGCATTCTTTATCATACGACTTTGCTTCCACCCTTGTTTCTTCTGTTCAAATATGTGTAAGTCGATTCTGTTCTTCTCGTGTATCGATTCACTGTTATTGTTAAGAACAAAGAAAAGCGCCCTATCTTCATACCACGTTGATGCAAGAACCGATCCTGGCATGTGTAGTATTTCATATCCTACTACTGTAGCATTATGAGAATCAACACGTGCAATTCTTGCGCTTCCATCAGCGCATGCAATAATCGCTCCGTGCAGGGAAGAACTCGCAACACTTGTGAGCGGGCATAGCCAGTTCAGTACATATGCATTATTCATCAGAAGTGCTTCTGTGCTTAGATCGTATGTGTGCGCCTTATGTGCAGCATGTGTAGCGCGTATAATAAAATCATTCTGTATTTTCTGTACCTCCCATGTTTCATTTGCTTTCGAATGCTGAAACTCATCTATAGAGGAAGTTGGAGAAAGAGTAAAAAAGGCTTGCCTTGCTTCCTTGTAGCTAAAGAGATACTCTATTATCAATAGGAGGACAATGAATATTACAAGAACACAACAAAATAGAGCAATGTTTTTGCACCATACAAGAAAACCAGGTCTTTTTCTCTCATAATATCTCATAATATTTCTCATAATAATAGAGGGAAATAGCTAGAGAAATTAATCGAAATTCCCATCTTGCTTCAGTAAATCTTCAAGAGACATCTCTGTGAGCATACGAGAAGACTCGCTCTCGCCGTGCACCATCCTTTGGTCGTGTTCCAATTTTAATCTTAAATTGCTTATTCTATCTAATGTTTCTTGCTGGTGCTCAATATCATTCTTTTGAAGATATAATTTACTAGTAGTATAAAATAGGTTAATTACTCTAAAGCACCAGTACTTATTTCTTTTATTTACGGCATAAATCTTCAAACATTCATTTGCTGACCATTCATGCATTTCAATAAGAAGATCCATGAGATGAGAAATATGTTGAAAATCCTCATCTCCTAAGTCATGTTGTTGATATTTCTTTATGTCTAAGAAACAAAGTGTAGCCCTTGGTAATTTATAACATACGTCTCCTAGCATCATGCTCCATCTTTTATCAGTAACAAGACATTTCAACACACACTTAACAACAAAATACTCTTTTAAGGTTATGTAATACAACTTCTTCCTATCAACGTTTTTCCACGATAAAAAATTACTATTCATTTCAGAAACTGAGAGAGAATGAGACTTAATTTTTGCTTTTTCTAATTGAAAATTTCAGCAATTTCAACATGTTTTCGGAAAGTTGGTCTACTGTCAATGTGGGTACTGATTTATCGTGAGAATAAAAATAGAGTAACTGAGAGTTGTAGAGGGATAATTCTTTGAGCATAAGAGTAATGTACTTAGTAAGAAGCTCAGAACTTGTCAGTCTCATTGGGTCTCCCAGCATAGAAATCTGAGAACGCACCGAAGAAATCAATCTTTTTGCTAGTGATATTATATTTTTACTCACTTCCTTTATTTTATAACAATTGTGAACAAAAAACAAGTAAGCGAAGACAATGAACACTTCTAAGCAATCTATGCACTCGGTTGCTATCTACCCTGTAAGAGCTTCCTTGCCTGTTCTATGGCTAAACTATCGTCACTATTCCCCACCAGCATTCTTGCGATTTCCTTTTCTCTTGTAGTTCCCTCTACTACATCAATTGACACATGTGTCCTTCCGTTTTTTTCGTACTTATCCACAAAAAAATGAGCATGCGCAATGCTAGCTACGCTAGGGAGATGAGTGACACAAATCACTTGGTGCTGTGTTGAAATATCTTGCAAGCATTTTGCGAGTTCCAGTGCAGTTTTTCCTCCAATTCCAGCGTCCACTTCGTCTAATAGCAAAGTTATATTACTCGTATGCACCTTTGATACTAAGGCGATAGCAAGCATAATTCGAGATAATTCACCGCCAGAAGCAATAGTAGCTAGTTTTCCCGCATTTTCTCCAAGATTAGTTTTAATAAGAAAGTCAACATTCCCAAGCAAAGAAAGATTCTTCATAGCGAAAATCTGTGAATATAAAACATCATCTGAAGCATTGTCAGATAGCAGTGAGCTAATGTGTTTGTAGCTTTCTCCTTCCTGATTACTTATTTTAAGTTCTGCCCTAGGAAGAGCAAGTTTTGTAAGTATGCCTTGTATTTTTTTTGAAAAATCCTCTGCGGCTTTTTTTCGTGTTTCTACAATATTATGTGTTAGGGAATAAAATTCCTTAAAAAGAGCAAGAATACGCTTTTTTATTTCGTTTTCATCATAGCGAAACATTTCGATTTCTTCTATCTTCCCTTCCGCTTCTTTGAGAAAATTGAATACCGTATCTAGACTACCACCGTATTTTTTCTTAAACCCTTCAATAAGAGACAGGCGTTGTTCCAATGCTCTTAGGGCGTCATCACTGTAATGAGAAATGTCATCCTTAAACACAGAAAGAGAAGCGAGCTTCTCTTTCATATCAATCAAAGTAGAGCTGTATTCTTCTGCTGCCTGTGTGATATGTGTATTGTACTGTGAAATATGCTCTAAATTATTCGTTGCTTTTTCTAGTTGAGGGATAGCACCGTTGACTTCATCATCCATATACGAAAAAAAACCAGACCAGAGAGCACGGATTTCTTCTGCATGAGACATAGCAAGTATCTCATCACTGAGTTTTTCATCTTCGTTATCCTGGATATGAGCAGTCTGAATTTCTTCTATCGCAAATGTAAGGTATTCTCTTTCGCGAGCTAGTTCGTTTTTTCTGCTATCAAAATCGGTGTACTGCTTTACTGCTTGCTTTAGTTCTTGCAATTTCTGATTATACACTGCAAGCATACTGTTGACAGCTGAGTACGTATTGATAATATCTGTTTGCACTGATGCCTTAAACAAATTTTGGTGCTCATGCTGTGCATGAATTTCACAGAGAAGGGAGTAGAATTCTGACAACTCGTGTATAGAAACAGCTGCTGACTGTATATAGCAGTGCCCTCTCCCTGTTCTTTTAATAATACGCCTGAGACTCACTCTTTTTTCATCAATATCAATACCTCGCCCCTCCAACCATTGTAGAGCGAGTTCGTTTCCCTCTATGTTCCATTCAGAATAAATTGATGCACCATCACTGTCTTTACGTACTACACTGAGATCAGCTTTTGCCCCTGACAATAACAAGAGAGAAGAAAGCAGTAAGGATTTACCCGCACCCGTTTCACCGGTAAAAACAGTGATGCCTGTAGTAAACTCTAAAGAAACCGTTTCAAACAGACCTATATTCTTTATTTGTAATAATTCAAGCATAGCCCCGAAACTCTCCCCTCCATCCAAGTTTTTGTCTTAACACTTCGAAATAAGAACGTTTGCTTGACTGTATGATTGTTGCCGTATAGTGTGATTGAGTTATTGCTACTACTGCACTAGGAAGCAGACACATCATTACCTTCCCGTCAACAACAAGTAATGAATGAGTTCTCTGAATAGTATCAAGAGTAATCTGAATAGTAGTTTCTAGTGATAAAATTATTGGCCTATTTGAAAGAGTAAATGGAGCTATTGGTAGAAACATCATAGAACCCACACCCGGCATCATGATTGGCCCCCCTAAGGACAGGGAATGCGCTGTGGAACCAATAGCAGAAGTTACAAGTAATCCATCTGATCTATATCGAGATACAAAGTCATCTCCAATCAAAACAGTAGCACGCATAGTGCCATACCCTGCTGTGCATATGGTAATATCATTCACAGCAAGGAACTCTGTATTTCCTATACATAGTTGTAAGAGCTTATGTCGAAGGATCGTGGCTTTTCCTTCAAGGTAATTATCTAGTTCCTGCTCCCATTCATCAAATTGAATATCATTTATGAAACCAAAATGCCCAACCTTTACAGGGAGTATTGGTATCTTCCTTTTAGAGCAAATACGTGCAGCCTTGAGTGCGGTTCCGTCACCCCCTATCGCTATTGCTAGATGAATCTCCTCCGCTGGGAGCTCCGGATCAATGGGGAAATGATACGAGCCATATAAATTAAGAACACGATGCTTTTTTTTAAGGAGGCGCTCTTGTATAATATGAGCAACATGTATTACTTTATCTTTCATGCTTGTCTTAATTAGAACTATTGTTTTCATACTCATTTTACACTTAGCACTTATATAATATCAAATAAGTGTTCTTATGTTCGTTCTGGTGCTGCGTAAGGTGTGTTAAGGCAGCGATGCAATCGTCGAGCTTATCTTCTTTACTTCGCTTCCATCCAAAAAAGAATATAAGGGAATACGTACTATTTCCTGAATTAATTGTAAAGAATATGGGAAAGTTTTGACAAGCCGTTGTTTTTCTGTGTCTTTACTTTCAAGCATGTACGAAAGATACGATGTGCCAAACGCTAAATCAGATTCTATACTTTGTTTCTTAAAAAAATTCAGAACTGTCTTTACCGAACCGGGCACTCTTAATGGAAAACCATGTAGGACCACAGCGTCTTCAAAAACAAGCTCCAAGGTTTTATATCTACTTTTTGCTAGGGCTTCTACATATATTTCCTGAATCTTTTTGTTTTTCCTTGCAAATACTTCTGCCTGGGTTAATTGAGAATGAGCAAGTGCGGCATTAAGATCAGATATTTGGTAATACTTAGATGCAATGTCTTGCAAAGCATGCTGTCGTATCATGTCATGCACACAGAGCACAGCACCAGATGCTGCAGTAATAAACGAATTATTCTCAAGCATCAGGATGCTAAAATCTGTTGTACATAATGTATCTTTACTGGAAATTTCATTATGCTTGGGAGACATATTCGATTCATCATGCGCTGGTGGATCTGCTAACATAGGGAGAGTGTAGCCAAGCGATACCGTAGGTAGCTCCTGTAATACAGATTGTTGTGGATGCATACGCTTTGTACTAGTACCAAAAGGATAGTAGCATACAAGTACATATTCTCTTTCTTCTCTTTCTTGCGTTATTTTTTCACTTAATTTTGAGGTAATAATACTATTGCCATGAATATCAATATCATAGAAAAACAAGTCATATGAATAATGAAGGAGGGTATTCACAATAATAAGTGGAATATATGTCGGAAGAATAAAAGCAGGTACACGGTTCATTGTTTTGTTTTTCTGCTGGCCCTTGTTTGTTCTTTTAGAAGAATTCAATATGTCAATAATACAAGAAAAGGCATCCGATACAGTCCTTAGTCCAATACCTTCTCTGTACCCAAACATACGTGCCACCAACCTAGCAAAATGCCTTCCAGCAGTAACACCATCGAGATGCTGCTCTACCATATGTCGCAACACAGCACTAAGATCTAAACGTGTAAGGGTGTTTCTACTGAGTGGTATCATGATCTGCCTGTGAATAAACTTGGGCCAGACTAGATTTGAACTAGTGACCCCTTCCTTATCAGAGAAGTGCTCTAACCAACTGAGCTACTGGCCCTACAAAATTATTGTATACAGTCAGTGGAGTTGTGTCAAGCGATATACACGCCTAATCTGTGTTTCTTATAAACTTTCTTAGGGTAGGGAGTGATTTATATATCATCTCGTACCCATGCTCCTTAAGTGTATCTAGTATTTTCACACTTTCTTCTATGGTTGCATGGGAAAAACGATTCCCCAGTGTGCAGTTGATTCGATAATAGTGTGCATGAGGGAGCATTTCTATTACTTTCTCAACATGCTGTGCCTGCGACTGCTGCATTACATAGAGCATGTGCTGTGAAACATCTGATACACGATTAATACGAGGAAAAATACCTGTGCCCAGCGAGAGAATATGATACTCAGTATCCTGAGATAAATGCTGGGTAAGCCATTGCAGTGCTAGCAAGCTTGGGTTTCGTATCGCCCAATGTACCCCAACACTACCATTACTAGTACCACGTTTTACTTCATCAAAGTAAGGGGTCGTATCATCACCGTATATATTATATGCTTGAGATAAGCGAAGCAGCTCATGAAGAATAAGCGGGTAATCCTCGCTACTTGTAATACAGTCGCATGTATATAACGTAGTATCCAAACAAGGAACTAATAATTTTCTACCCTCTTGCTCAAAAAACTCTTTCTCGGAAAAAAATGTCGGAAGCATTTCTTCTAAATAGCGCTCCTGCATGTATATACGTTCATGGATGTTTTGAATTGTATTTTTTCGCGTAAAAAAATACTGCTCAACTGGGTCATAGAGATATGCAAGAATAGATAGCAATTGTTTCTTTACCGCTGTTGCGCCTATACCCTTAAACTTCTTTTTTTGGTGCAGTGAATATAGTAACGCAGTGGTAAGTGAACCTGACCCAACACCAACAAAGACATCAAAATACTGCTCTATTGCTATTGCTTTCCCTTGCATGCGAAGCTCTTCTTCAAGCTTTTCTAAAATCATTGCAGGAAGGTATGCTCCATACGCACCGTTATCTACAGCAAGTACAACACACTTTTTTTTTTTTTTTTTTGAGATTCAGCACAAGACCTGCTTTATTGCAATAATATGTATCC